GTCGTCGTCTGTAGCACTGTCTAGTTGTGAGACAGAGATCTACGCTGGTGCTATGGCCTCTCAGGAGCTCTGCTGGCTGACGTCCCTTTTCACTGACTTAGGTGAGCGACCTAGGTCAGCCCCTGTCTTGTTTGCTAATTACAAGGCCATGATCCTCTTGTGTCTGGAGGCTCGACTTGAGGGCAAGGTCAACCACATTCAACTGCAGTACTTCCTGCTGCATGAGTTGCAGCATGAGCGCGGCCAGGCCCATGTAGTATAGTTGGCCTCAGAGGCCAACACTGCTGATATCTTTACCAAGGCCCTTGGGCCTCGTGGTTATTAGTGGTTCTGTACTCAACTTGGTCTAGTTCTAGTTGCCTCGCCCTTGCTTGTATCCTGATTTGTACTATACCGATTTTGTATTTGCTGCTCAATACCGGTTGTCTTGTTACACTTGCTAACTGGCCTTCTGGCCCTTGTCTTAGCGATCAAACTAGTAGTGCTGCCCTGAGCTGTTTGTTTTATACACCAGAGGCCAGATTAGTAGTGTTGCCCTGGATTGCCGTATCTTGCTAGCAGGGCTTCAGAAGTCAGGACGAAATGCCCTGAAATGCTGAATATCAGGGTGTTTTTTTAGGGGTGTCCTGTTTTTTCAGCTTTTGATTTTTCCTAGGCCTGAATTTTAGGGGTTCTCATTTGAGCAGGCCTGAAATATTGTATGTTCTTGTTTTGGTCACCCTAAATTATCAGCCTTAACGGATTTCCAGCCTGAAACAGAATCCTATCTGACTAGTCGAGGCCTGCTGGAGCAGCTGTGAGGGGCTTGACCTGTCCTTCGCCAAAATCTCGCAGGTGACGCAAGGTGGAGCAGATGTGAGGGGCGTGATTGGTCCTTTGCCAAAATCACGCAGGCAGTTTGACGCGAGCTGGAGCAGGTGTTAGGGGCGTGACTAGCAAAATGACGCAGGTAACGCGAGTTGGGGCAGATGTGAGGGGCGTGATTGGTCCTTTGCCAAAATCACGCAGGCAGTCTGATGCAAGTTGGAGCACGTGTGAGGGGCGTGAATGGTCCTTGGCCAAAATCACGCTGGTAGTATGACAATTTGTACGCAGTGAAGTCCGATCCGATTTTAGGATCAAAACCCTAAAAAATGTACTTGATGAGTCAAGTTTTTTTTTTTTTTTTTTTTTTTTTTGGCCTGACAAAACATGCCTTGTCTAACATAATGTGCTAGGTTAAAATCCTACCCAGCCTAAAAAATCGCAAAGGTTCAACCCTATCATCTCAGCTCTGAAAATTTTCAGTCACGATCATTCAATCTTCGAAAAAAAATACCCTGGAAAAAATTGCAACTTCCAAAACCCGACCCTGACAAACGGGGGCTCCTGATGGGGGCACCCTAAGCCAACAACCTCTCAAAATCCAATATGAAGCCCTCATGTAGGCCCATAAATTGTTATACGTTTTATATTCGCAAAATTCTCGACGTTATTCATTTATTGTACCTCCAGAACACGAGCAATTTCACAGATATAATGTATAGTCAGCTTCACAAAGAAGTGATGATTGAAGAAATTGTATGATTATCCTCTACGCGGTTATGAGCTTTTGTTTTGGAACGCATGGGTTTACATAAACAACCTGTACACCCTCCGGAGTTTTATCGATTCGACCATGCTGAACCTTTCTCTGTTGAGCTCAGGCGGGGTTGTTGGAGGTGTGAGGGCAGCGTTGCCTGGGGGGCCGAGTGAGCACTCAGGTTTCTGTGGTTGGGCAAATGGGCCAGCCGAGATTACGTGAGGCTCAACCGCAGAGTCTATCCGCAAGTGTTGATGCAGGGTCGCTTAGCGAGTGTGACTGCAGACGAGAAATTTGGTTGGACTGTGCGTTCTTTTTGGGTGCCCTAGGATGGTTCGAGTTGCCTCGGGTGGACCATGGAATATGGGATGATGGCTGTGGCTTGGACCTTGTTGCTGGAAAGAAACGTGCACTCCTGGCCTGGTGGACACACATGCAAAATCATCTGCGCCGTGGAACGTTTGCTTCTACCAACAAGAATATCGCGCTCGCGAGCTCGACGAAGATTTTCCAAGTAGATGTTACAGTTCGCTCAGGTGGTTTTCACAGTGAGATGGTTGATGCTTGAGCTGTTCACGACTTCGCTGCCCATCCACCTGAATGCAAACGACCCCCATGACACGAACAAACCACCTGAAGTGCACAATTGATACGACGACCCCCGAAAACGACAAGCCAATGTGGACCTCAATCCCTCCTTGTCCCCCTCCCACGGCTGTTACATGCGATAACACCAACCCTAGTCTATCCCAGCTTCGTGTTCCTCCTCCCTTCCTCAACTTTCTTTCCCCTTCCCCCCTTTCAACATTCACCTTAGCTGTTGAGTTAGCTGTGTAGAGACATTCCCTTCTGGTAGGCCTCGATTTCCCTTGGTGCGAACTTTAAAGAAATTGGAATTCGAGGAAGAGATTAGAGATGGGTAGGTTGGTCGTATCCTGCGTCTTCTTGGCGCTCCTTGTTCCGTACGCTCTCGCTGTTCCAACCAATACGGTAGGCGGCACCAATACGGTTGGCGGCACCAATACGGTTGGCGGAACCAATACGGTTGGCGGAACCAATACCGTCGGCGGAACCAAAACTGTTGGCGGCACCAACAGCGGCGGTGGCACCAATACCGTTGGCGGCACAAACAGCGGCGGTGGCACCAATACCGTTGGCGGCACAAACAGCGGCGGTGGCACCAATACCGTTGGCGGCACAAACAGCGGCGGTGGCACCAATACCGTTGGCGGCACAAACAGCGGCGGCAGCACAAACAGCGGCGGCAGCACAAAAAGCGGTGGCAGCACAAACAGCGGCGGCAGCTCAAACAGCGGCGGCAGCACAAACAGTGGCGGCAGCACAAACAGCGGCGGCAGCACAAACAGCGGCGGCAGCACCAACAGCGGCGGTAGCACCAACAGCGGCGGCAGCACCAACAGCGGCGGTAACTCCAATACTGGTGGCAGCACCGTAACTGGCGGCAGCACGAGCACGAGCGGCGGCACGGGACTGAAAGTTAACTCCACTTTGATTTATCCCGGACAGGAGGGTTCTAACTATGGCAACTGCCCGGCCTTCAAGTGTACCCCTGGCTCGCACTTTAACGGAACCTTCACTGACTCTGATAGCGAGGATATTTCGTACGAGTGGCTGTTCTCCAAGCCGCTGATGAAGGACGATCCCGAGTCGCCCGAATGGGACAGGCTGCTCGAGCATCCGCATTTCGACTGCTGGAAGATCTGCAAGATGGCTAAGGCCGACCACCCGCAGATCAAGTACTGGCAATACGAGGAGACCTGCGACGTTGGAGGTAAGGACCACCGAGGATCACGCCCCATTCCCCACGTCATTTTTTCGCCTGGGCACTTCGTTTCTTTTTTCTTCGTGATCTCTTAGTATCGTGTTCCATGATTTCTGATTCTTGTCCGTATTGTGTCGTGGCTTTCTGTCGGTTCATTTGACCTTCAGGTGTGTGCTCGTGCTTTGACGAGGGCGTCTGCACTCAGAACCACTACAACCCCGACAACACGATGAACTTCTTTTTCGATTCCACCAATGACTACCAGCCTCCCTCCACCTTCTATGTCGGCAAGGTCTGCGACGGCAACGTTACCGGCGATCCCCACTTTGTCGGCGCCGACAAGTCGCGGTTCGACTTCAGCGGTTACCCCGGCGAGAACTTCGCTCTGATCTCCGACGCGCACATTGCTATCAACGCGTACTTCGGCGGACGCGTCGAGAAGGAGTGGATGGGGCAGAAGAACAAGGTGATGACTTGGATGCGCAACATCGCGGTGCTCTGGGGCCATCACTCGGTCGTGTTCGAGGCTCGGCCCGGAGCTGACGCGGAGTACGGTGCGGGCTATCTCCAGGCCATTTACGTCGACGGGGAGAAGACGAGCCTGTCGTTCCCCGGCGAGAAGATGTATCTCTTTGACGGGTCCGTCGAGCTCAAGTGGGTGGATGCCAGGAAGAAGGTCGGCGATGATCTGGTCGACATTTACGAGATTTCTGTGGCCGAGATCATCACGCTGCGTCTCCTGTTGAGGCCTGAGATCAAGCTCATGAGGACCAAGGACGACGGGCTTGTGCACTTCACGATCGAGGTGGTCAGCGCTCAGCTATCCGCCAACGTCCATGGCGTGCTTGGCCAAACCTACCGCCCCGATTTCGCTGGCCGACTGTAAGTTTTTGAGTAATTTCATGCCTGTGTTATTTCAAATGCGTCGTTCTTTCAGGTTCTCTTACAGCTTTTGACGTTCTGGTTTTTGTTTCTTTGATATTCTAATATTACGCAGTGAGAAGCAGACCCTGGTCTACAGCAAACTGCTTAAGGCGTACGTGGTTCCGGGTGACAATGCTGAGGGCTTCATTGATGGCTCGTGGGAGGATTACAAGACGTCGGAGCTGATGCGGTCCGACTGTAACTACTGTCGCTTCGTACGCGGTACAGCGATCGACGACGAAACCGCGAACGCCGTCGCCATGGCGACGTCCGTCAGCTCGTCGTACAGCATGCTCGGCAGGAAGGGCATGATTGACGCTCTCTAAGAACATTGGCGGAAGTTTACCGGTTCTTTGTATTTTATAAATCTGTTTCATTGTAACACTTAAACGCCAGGCTCAAATGGACGGCCTCGCACTGTGTTGCTCCGTGGCAGTGCATTTCTTGTTTGTCTAGAGTAATATATTTCATTCTATTCCGGTTGACTTTAAGAACCAATTTGAGATGACACAGCAGCCACTGCTTCCTGGCCTTGGGCCCATTTCAGCTGCAAACCTAACCCTTAGAAATAAGGGCAATACTATTTTGTTAGGATAGCTAGCTAGGAAGAGGCGGTATGAATGGCGAGAGGTTTTAGGTGCTAGGAAAATATCGAGAGAGAAGAGAGTTTGAAAAGAAGAGACGGATACAAGGGGGGTTGTACCCTCTACAGTAGAATCAAGGAACATCGTCCAAGCCTACCATTATATATTTATCAAATATAAAATTTAACATATTTCCCCACCTTTCCAACAGTGCGGAGTAGTGGGCATATACAGCAATTGCAGCAGACCAATCTCCATGTTCAACCTATCCGCCACTCTGCAACACAGTGCGTTACCAGCGTCTCCAACTGCAGCAGAACCCCCTCTGATTCTGCCTCTCCTCTGTCACACAGTGAGCTGTACTGCCAGCGCAACCTCCCAATGAGCTGCCTCAGAAAGTATTCCATCCGCCGCCACAGGAACGCCCATGATCTCCTTCAACTGCAGCAGCACCATCTCCAAGTTCGGCCGATTCTGCCTCTCCTCGGCCACGCAGCGCCTCGCCAGCCAGGGATTGCCAGCGCCACCCTTTAAGCCCACCTCAAAACGTGCTTCCTCTATCCGCCACCACAGGAACGTCCCTAATCTCCTTCAATTGCAGCAGAACTGTCTCCATGTTCGGCCGATTCTTCCTCTCCTCCGCCACACAGTGCTTCGCCAGCGTCGCCAGCTGACGCACCCCCAGCTCGGGGTACCTCCCTTGCATCCCAGGGTCGGCGTAGTGCTGCGAGGGCAGGGTTAGATCCTGGAACTGCTGCCGGCGCGCAGTTACCAGGTGGTTACCCTGTTCTTGCACTCTCTGCCCAGTTAGGAGCTCTAGGAGGATCACGCCGAAGGAATAGACGTCACTCTTGGCCCCCAGGTGACCTGAGGAAAGGGGGAGGGCCGGAGTGGGGGGGGGGGGGATGGGCACGGGCAGAGTTACCAGCTTGTTACCCTCTCTGGCATTCTCTGGGCTCTAGGAGGATCGCCCCTTAGGAGTAGACGTCACTCTTGGCCCCCAGGTGACCTGAGGAAAGGGGGAGGGCCGGAGTGGGGGGGGGGGGGGATGGGCACGGGCAGAGTTACCAGCTTGTTACCCTCTCTGGCATTCTCTGGGCTCTAGGAGGATCGCCCCTTAGGAGTAGACGTCACTCTTGGCCCCCAGGTGACCGAAGGAAGGTAGAGGTGGGAGGCGGGGGAATGGGCACGAGTGGAGTTACAGGCAGCAGACACAAGAACACACCAGTCACTAGGTGGGTCAGAGCAGACACAAGAACACATGCCCCTCGGTGGGTCAGAGCAGACACAAGAACACATGCCCCTCGGTGGGTCAGAGCAGACACAAGAACACATGCCCCTCGGTGGGTCAGAGCAGACACAAGAACACATGCCCCTCGGTGGGTCAGAGCAGACACAAGAACACATGCCCCTCGGTGGGTCAGAGCAGACACAAGAACACATGCCCCTCGGTGGGTCAGAGCAGACACAAGAACACATGCCCCTCGGTGGGTCAGAGCAGACACAAGAACACATGCCCTCGGGTCGGAAGACACAGACACATGCCCCTCGGTGGGTCAGAGCAGACACAAGAACACATGCCCCTCGGTGGGTCAGAGCAGACACAAGAACACATGCCCCTCGGTGGGTCAGAGCAGACACAAGAACACATGCCCCTCGGTGGGTCAGAGCAGACACAAGAACACATGCCCCTCGGTGGGTCAGAGCAGACACAAGAACACATGCCCCTCGGTGGGTCAGAGCAGACAGAACATGCCCCTCGGTGGGTCAGAGCAGACACAAGAACACATGCCCCTCGGTGGGTCAGAGCAGACACAAGAACACATGCCCCTCGGTGGGTCAGAGCAGACACAAGAACACATGCCCCTCGGTGGGTCAGAGCAGACACAAGAACACATGCCCCTCGGTGGGTCAGAGCAGACACAAGAACACATGCCCCTCGGTGGGTCAGAGCAGACACAAGAACACATGCCCCTCGGTGGGTCAGAGCAGACACAAGAACACATGCCCCTCGGTGGGTCAGAGCAGACACAAGAACACATGCCCCTCGGTGGGTCAGAGCAGACACAAGAACACATGCCCCTCGGTGGGTCAGAGCAGACACAAGAACACATGCCCCTCGGTGGGTCAGAGCAGACACAAGAACACATGCCCCTCGGTGGGTCAGAGCAGACACAAGAACACATGCCCCTCGGTGGGTCAGAGCAGACACAAGAACACATGCCCCTCGGTGGGTCAGAGCAGACACAAGAACACACCAGTCTCTAGGTGGCTCGGGTCGATGTACCCCTCGGTGCCCATGGCCCTCGTTGACACGATTGACCGCAGCTGACCAACAAACAGAGGATCTTTCATGCTGACACACCTGTTTCTAGGTAGCTGGGGTCGATGTATCCCTCTGTGCCCATGATCCTCGTTGACACGATAGACCGCAGCTGACCCCCCGGACCCACCCGCACCATGCCGAAATCAGTCAGCTTTGCCGAGTAGTCCTGGTGTTTTGAGAGGGGTTGGAGGAAAGAGAGAAGGTACGGGTGACGTTAGTCTGTTTTGAAGGGCTCGAAATACTTCTGGAAACCCACAAGCACCATGAAAAACCAGTCAGCTCTGAAGATTTTCAGTCCTGGGGTATTAAGAGGGGTTAGTGTGATAGTAAGTTCACTTTGCAGATTTCGTTATTACTATCACACGGATTTTCAGTCCTGAGAGGGGTTGGAGTAAGGGGATAGGGTCCGGGAAGTGTCAAATAGACCGTCTGTAATCAAGTTAGTAGTGTATATTACCATATGAATGTATATTACTCTCATAAAGAAGACACTCACCGATTTCAGCAGCACGTTAGCAGCCTTGATATTGCGGTGAATGAAATAACATCAGTGCATGTAGATTAGGGCTTCTGCCACCTCCACTCCCGCCGGTGCATGTAGGCTAGGCTTTATACAGAGGCAATCACTTACCAGTGCACTCTTGTGTGCAGTGCAGCAGACTCACGGCATGAGAGTCTTGAGGCACTCACCGATTTCAGCAGCACGTTAGCAGCCTTGATATCGCGGTGAATGAAATTACACCGGTGCATGTAGGTAAGGGCTTCTGCCACCTCCACCGCCACCTTGAGGCGCATGGACCAGTCAAAGTACAGCTCGCCCTTTGCACCTGATGGGGATTGGAATGGGCGAGGGGAGGGATGGGGGGAGCAGAAGGGAAAGGTGCCTGTAGGCCGGCGCTTCTGCCACCTCCACCGCCACCTTGAGGCGCTTGGACCAGTCAAAGTACAGCTCGCCCTTTGCACCTGATGATTGAAGAAGGCGGGTGGGAGGGAGGGAGCGGGGGGAGAAATAGGGCTCCTGGTGTTTGAGTTCACGGAGGGGGCAGCATGGACTATGCATCTAGGGCTCAGCTTTAAACCATCGATTCTGTCACCTGCACTGCCCCATTGAGGCGCATGGACCAGTTCGCACTGATTTTTGACCGAGTAACCCCACAGCTGCACCAGGTGCGTGTGGGCCGGCCTAGAAACCAGGGTTAAAAAATCTGAGGGTTCGGGTTCAGGGCTTACTGTCGGTGAGGGCGTAGTCGAGGCTGCCCCCCTCCATGAACTCGTATACCAGGAACGCGCCCAGGTCGACGGAGTACCCCAACAGCTGCACCAGGTGCGCGTGGGCCAGGCGCCCCAGCACCAGCACCTCCCTCAGAAACTCCTCGGCTCCCTGCTTCGACTCCTCCCTTAGCTGTTTAACCGCCACCTGCACCATCCCCCCGCCTTGTCCCATGCCCCCTCCTTCTCTTCCCCCCCTCCTCCCCTCCCCTCTCTACTGGATTCACCAGGTGGGCTTTTCTCCCCTCTCTCCCCTCTCTCCCCTCTCTCCCCTCTCTCCCCTCTCTCCCCTCTCTCCCCTCTCTCTAAGATTTCAGCGCTAATGCATCCCCTGTAAACCTGCCCAAAGCCCCCTTCGCCGATTAGCTGAGCTGGCGCAAACCCATTGGTTGCTGCCGCCAGCTCATCGTAAGAGAATCGGTGCAGAGAATCTGGGGCAAGCTCCGAAAGAACCACGTCGGGCAGCTGGTCGAGAAATTTTCCGGGTGAGGAATTTGACCGGGGGAAACCCGGCGGACGTTTTTTCGCAACCTGCCCGTTCCTCTGCCCGTTCCCCTGCTCTTGCTCTCTAAAGCCCTGCCCGTACTTATTACCCTCCTGCTGCTGCCCATGCTGCTGCTGCGGCCGAAAGTGTGGATTAACAGGCGAGCCTACAGATCGAGTGGGAGACCCTAGCGATCTAGCAGGCGAGGCATTTAAAGACCTATTTGAAGCAGATCTAGCGTGTGAAGCCCCTAACTGTATTCTGGCAGGCGATCTTCGTCTGGAGCCGTACCCCCCTCCTCCCCCCCCTCCTCCTCCACCGCCTCCTCCTCCCCCTCCCCCTCCTCCCCCCAATTCTCCTCCCCCATCCCCCCCATTCCCCCCATGCATGCTGCCACTCCCCCCCCCATTCCCCCTTCCCCCTCGCCCGACCCGGCCCTCTCCCCCTCCCTCCTCCTCTCCCCCAACTGATAGACTGCGGGGCTGAACCCCCCCTGGAGCCCTGGGGGGCTTGCTTCTGGTCGAGTTGGCGGAAGGGGGAGTGTCTTGAGCGCAGGGGGGGATTTTTTGCGCGGATGGGGGGGACTGAGGCGGAGGAGGGGGTTGGGAGTTGGTTTTGGTGGTGGGTTGGGCGGAAGACTGAGGGGGAGGAAAGGGGGGGTTAGTGGGGGCGGAAAAGAGGGAGGAGGTGAGGGGGGGAAGAGTTGTTGTTTCTTGGGGTTTGCCTGTATGTTGTGGGAAGGTTGGAATTTGGGAAAGGAGAATATTAAAATTTGAGGAGCCTCAAAACTGGAGAAGAGGGAGGAGGCGAGATGGGGAGGTGAGTGGGGCGAGAGTAGTTGTTGGGGCAATTGGGGGGGGGAGAGGATTTGGGCTTTGAGGTGCCTCGAAACCGGAGAAGGAGGAGGAGGCGAGAGGGGGGAGGCGAGAGGGAGGAGGTGAGAGGGGGGTGCGTGGTTGTTAGGGTTTGCGTGTGTGTTAAAGGGAAGGCGGGATGGGGGCATCGGGGAAAAGGAAAACGGGGAAAGGGGGAAAGGGGGAAAGGGGGGCCGAAGCAAGAAAGGGGGAAAGGGAGACCGACGGGGTGCATTGGGATGGGGGCATTGGGGAAAGTGAGAACGGGGAAAGGAGAAGGGGAAAAGGGGAAAAGGGGAAAGGGGGAAAAGGGGAAAGGGGGAAAAGGGGAAAGGGGGCAAAGGGGAAAGGGGGAAAAGGGGAAAGGGGGAAAAGGGGAAAGGGGGGCCGAATCAGGAAGGTGGAGAGGCAAACCAGGAAATGCGGCACATTTGAGTCGACTCAAAAGTCAACCAGGAAATGCTGAAAAGGAAAACCGGTTACGCGCCGCAACCGAACCATGGCGTCGAGCTAGTTACGCGCGCGTGTAACAGTCGTAGGCATGATCCCAACCTCCGGAACCCGCGAAACATCCTAGCCTGACGTACGCTTCTTCCGAACGTTGGATGAGGATTCAGTGGACAGACACGCTCCCATGATTCTCCAACGGGAAGCGGACACGTGGCTTCTTCAAACCGCCATCCGCAATGCGGGGGTTCTACAGAAGTGTCTATCGCCGGAAATTGCGCTGCCACCGGCGACGGGATTAGGAAGCTGAACCGTTTAGCGAAGCGCTGAGGCTCGGTGATGGCGGGATGAAGAGTTAAGATTAAGAAGGTATCAGTAGTTTCGCCTAAGAGCAGAATTCAATAGTAGCAGATGTGAGAAGAGCTAAGAGGCTTGGCCTGAGTTAGCAACCCACGGGAAAATGTCGTAGGAGATTGTTAATACACTGAACTTGAGGCTTACTCGAAAATGCCGGTTTTTCCCAGAAATAACGAGGCCACCTAATAACCGACCCAGCGCGGTACTGCGGACGAACATGGCGGAGTAGAAAACCTTGAATAAATACGTCTCTGGCGAATCGGCTACACTAGTTGCTAGCGAGCAATCAAACAGCCGAGTCAGCAAAAAACGCGAATCGGTATTCTCTACAAGTCATTTGCTCAATCCGAGGATAGAGGGGGTTGAGTTGAGAATCACTTGCATTAGGGCGCAGGTCAGTTAAAGCCCGCGGCCCAAATTGCGAGACGCGACCTTCAAACACAGTGCGTTTGAAAGTTGCGTTTTCGTGGGTGTATTGGGGGGGTAACGAGACTCTCGTCACTCAGGGGTGCCTTTCAAGTTCAGTGCGGAAGGTAATTTGGAACACCAGGTGACGAGCGTTTTTCAACCGTTAGTTTTTCTAGATTTTCATCTGACGGCGCGTAAGCCAAGCACTTCCCCCAGTCAGTCGAAAGGTAATCTCATCCGTCAAACTGTGTGTTTGTAAATCTGACGGTTCACGACAAGCGATGAATTTGCGAGAGTAAACGCCCTCGCGATTTTCCAGCGTATTTCGTACAGGCTGAGGGTCAAACTTCATACGCAGTGCGTTTGAAAAAATTTGGTCGCGGGTTTTAACTCTAAACTGTGCACGATGTTGTGCATTTCGGAAGTTTTGAATGCGGTTCCTTTGCACTAACCGTTATGCAGAAGCGTCAGTTGATATCCATGTTACTGTATCCCTGCTGGGATGGTTGTGTATGTGGGGTGGGGGAAGGGGGGTGTGCCAGCTCTATATCGGGTTCGCACGGTATAATTGTTGGGAAGTATCTCCCTTCAGTGTACCCTTAGTGCATAACAACTTAGAAACATCTGTTCTGTACCCTTACTTTTGGTAGAAGAATGGAGACATCCTGATTGGCCATCTTATGATGTGACTGGAAACGGGCCATGTAGCCTGCCTAATTCCTCCCACATCATCAGACAGAAGCGAGTAGAGCACAGTACGATGGTGTTGCACCGCTGGTTACATCAGCCAGCCCGCCAAAAGACTAGCCGCCCCTTCCCGTACCCTTGATGTTGCAGCAATTTGTATGTGTTAGGAAAAATTTGCTGTTTTGTGAACTACGGACACGTTATGCGAAGCGTTCGTCACGTAGTTTCTCAGGTGGGCGTGGGCTGCACTGAAAAGCGGTTTGAAAAAACGACAGCAGCAGAAGCTTCAAAACCACCTGATACCAGACTGTTCAAGACTGTTCAAGACTGATCTCTGTCGCAGTGCACGGCTGTTCTCTGTCGCACTATATTGGTCCCATCATATCGTCCAGTGGAGGCCCGCCTTTTCTGTGGGTAGGACACTGGTGGCTAGTTGATGCACAGTTTGGGAAAGGAATTCGTTTTCCCCGCACAACTTCTTTTGGTTCATCACGTACTGGAACTTACCCAAGCAATTCCCGAGGACCCTGGAAAGTGAGACGAGCGCAGAAAAGTGGTGGTCCCCACCTCGATGGTGGTTCAAGAGATTTTTTTCATTTTGACCCGGACAAACCCGTTTCACATTGCCTGTCCTCGACCTGCGTCTGGGCATCCATCCCCAATCGCATCGTTTTCTTCGGTTCCTCCTGCCAGCTGCCTGGTGCCAATTTCGAAACCTACCTGCGCTGCCCCTGAGGAACCGAGTGACACCCCACAGCCATCCGCTGGGAGAGGCATGTCGGGGTCAGGTCAGGTCGTGTTGATCTAAGGGACCTTGGGCAAACTGTACTGCTTTTCTTTGGACGGCCCTTCACTCAGTGGCTTTCTTCTCCCTCCCATTCGCAGACCAATCCAGACTCCTTCCCCACCCAACCCCACCCGACCCTTCAACCCTCACTTATGCCTGGCTCGTTTTCCTCGGAGATCTAGGTCACCAGTCTCATCAATCAACAGTACCCGTGACAACGTAGAGCTTTATCCCGTGCCATAATCGCTTTCGCCATGGAGCCGCAGCGCGCTTTCACGTTCTTAATAGCATTCCTCTTACCGTGCCTCGTTGTCGCGACTGCCGTAGATGTCTCTAAGAAGCTGTACGGCCGGCCAGGAAGGTTCCGCCTTCGGCGCTTGCCCCTAGTTTCGGCTGCAAGCCCGGAGCACACGTTAGCGGAATGTTCACTGATAGCGATTCGGAGGATATCGAGTACATGTTTAAATACTCCAATGCCGGTTTATGTTCAACGACACGGATTCCCCAGCGTGGGATCCGCTATTGACAGACCCGTTTTACGACTGCTGGAAGGTGTGCAGCGATTACAACAAAGAGAACCCCAGCGACGCTGTGACGTACTGGCAGTACGAGGAGACGTGCGACATAGGAGGTGCGTGCAGCGGTTGCGAAGCCGAGTCGATTTAGGCGTACGAAGGTATCTGAGTTACATGTGTCATATGTATTCGGCACGAATAGAATCAGCAGCTTATCTGGGGCAGAAGCATCAGGTAGAGCGGCAGCAGATATCGTCTAGCGAGTTTTTCTCGTAGCAGTCGTTCCATTCAGGAGTGCCAGTCTGCTTGGACGTGTTCAACAGATGACGTGTTATTAAAGACTGGGGCGGGTGTCTCTTGGTGTCAGTTCCAGCCACGTTGTTCACTTCGCTATAGGCCCACGTCCTCTCCCCCTCCCCCCCACCCAAACGGAATCATTCCAGTTTCTTTTCAATGCATTTAATGTCTATAGTCTATCCTTTTCTTCTCGCAGGTGTATGCGCATGCTTCGATGAGGGCGTGTGTACACTAGAACACTTCAATCCCGATGGCACGATTGACGTGTTCACTGATTCCACGGGCGATTACCACCCAGAGTCGCGATTCTACGTCGGCAAGATTTGCGACAGCAATGTTACCGGCGACCCTCATTTCGTCGGGCGCGGACAAGTCTCGCTTCGACTTCAAGCGGCATCCCCAACGAAAACTTTCGCGCTGATTACGGATTCGCACGTTCAAGTGAACGCGTTTTTTGGTGGTCGCTGGGCTCGCTGGATGGACAGCGAGCGAAAGGCGCTGACGTGGATGCGAAAGATTGCGATCCTTTGGGCCACCACTCGATTATTTTCGAGGCTCGCGAAGGCCCAGACCCCAAATATCGCAAGGGTTACCTCTCTTCGCTAATCGTCGACGGTGTGGTGAAGAAGCTGCGATTCCCAGGCGAAAAGCTGCACCTGTTTGACGGGCAAGGCGAAGTGAAGTGGCTTGCCGGTGCGAAACCCTCGGGTGGTGATCTGGTTGACGAATACGAAGTTACTGTCGCAGATGTCCTTTCGTTACGGCTGACCCTTCGTCCCAGAAATCGAGATGATGCGAACGATTGAAGACGGGCTGGTACACTTCACGGTGGAAGTCCTGAGCGCCAGGCTGTCGGCTAACGTCCACGGCGTGCTTGGCCAAACTTACCGGCCAGACTTCGCCGGCCGACTGTAAGTTTCTGCTTCCTCCCCCAACCCCTTTCACTGCAACCTCTTAGCTTCAATCTCTTCAATCATCCCCTTCATTTAGCTAAGTGTAGCGTTTAATGTTCCTGCTTCCTGAATTCTTTCCCCCTCCTCAGCTCCAAGGGTGTCATCTTCCAGTACAACCCTTTCACTCGTGCTCTCTTACCCTCCGCGTCTGGCTGAACTCTACTGGCTTTCCTTTCCTCCCCTTGTCTCTTTCTTCCGTTACTACAGGGAGAAGCAGACCATGGTGTACAGCAAGCTCTTTAACGCGTACGTCGTCCCTGGCGACAACGCTGAGGGTTTCATCGACGGCACTGTAGAGGACTACCAAGTCTCGTCATTGCTCCACACGGATTGCGACCTATGCCGATTCATCCGCGCTCGCTCATTGGACGACGAAACAGCACGGGCAGTCGAACTCAGTACGACTGTAGCCTCTTCATTCACGGCTCTTGGTAGAAGAGCTGCAAATTAGGCAAGTGGTGCCTAAGTTCAGCTGATCGTATTTTTTAGAGCTATGAATACGCCATGAGAACATTTACATTAATACATGTAAACGATCATAACGTTCGTTGTTTTAACCTGTTGTACCAGAAAGTGTATTCTGTTTAGTGGGGCATCTGGAGGCGAGAGTTGCGTGACCCCAGGTTGGGTTGGGCAGTGTTCCGCAACGGGTTTGGTGGGTTGGGCGAATGTGCAACAGTGAAGAGGTGGATCTCGCGCGCCACTCAGTGCAGTGAACTGGTGGGCAGGAAAAGACAGTATATTTCTGTCGTGACTCGAAATTTCTGTTTGGGCTTCAGCAATGGACACGTGGCGCGAATTTTGCCAGGAGACATGAGACAGACCAATACTTTACATGACTAAGATGAGAAACGCCGAAAGTCACATGAGGTAGCTCTAAATCAGACTGCGATGCGAAATGATTTAATAGTACCCATCCAGCAGCTACTTACCCTAGAAACAAGCAAGGAGCACCCTCAATAGCCCAGGCGAACTCAGACTACGCGCGCTTGTCATTGGACAAGATTGGGACAAGAACAGTATCTACCTAGACGCGCCAGACAGATCCCGCAGCATAAGTAACCTCGCCATATTGGACAATTCCACCTGGCAGGAGCGTGGCTGAGCGGATAAGGTTAGAAAAGACGCCCGGAAAAGCCGCATCGCAAGTGTGTGCGGCTAGTGTGCGGCGCGGCGTGCCGCAATCGCCGGAGGAACAGAAAAGACGCGCGGCCCAGGGCTTAGCCCACCGGAAGAGGGCGGAGGTGGACCCGCGCCCTAGCTGACACTACATCTAATAAAAGCTTGTAAGCATAAATGCGCTATTAGGGAATGGCAGATGGACGCCGACAGGCCGAGGCGAAACACGAAACTGCGGAGAGGCAAAGAGAAGACGAAAAAGAGAAGAGAGAGAGAGAGAGAGAGAGAGAGAGAGAGAGAGAGAGAGAGAGAGAGAGAGAGAGAGAGAGAGAGAGAGAGAGAGAGAGAGAGAGAGAGAAGAGGAGAGAGAGAGAGAGAGAGAGAGAGAGAGAGAGAGAGAAGAGAGAAGAGAGAAGAGAGAGAGGAGAAGAGAGAGAGAAGAGAGAGAGAGAGAGAGAGAAGAGAGAGAGAGAGAGAGAGAGAAGAGAGAGAGAGAGAGAAGGAGAGGAGAGAGAGAGAGAGAAAGAGAGAAGAAAGAGAGAGAGAGAAGAGAGAGAGAGAGAGAGAGAGAGAGAGAGAGAGAGAGAGAGAGAGAGAGAGAGAGAGGCCGGCGGAGAGAGGAAAATAGCAGTGCTATCACAGGGGATAGACAGGCGGATAGGGGGAGAGGGCAAGAAACACGCTGCGATGGAGGAGGAGGAACAGAGGGAGAGGGCGCAGGGACGGGAGGAGGGTCGCAACTGGTATCCATTCTGCCGAAAATATAGCTTGGGGTGGGAGGGGTTTGCCACCCTATTTACAGCATTGGTTGGGGGGAATAGCCACGGTCCTCTGCGCTTGGGTTGAGAGGATGGCCACGCCACATAGAGCCGATGTTGGGCGGGATAGCACGGGCACACAGGACGTGGGGTGAGAAGGGAGGAATGGTAAACAGGGTGTGGTTGGGGAAGTGGCGCAAGAGTGGACAGCTAGTGTACTGCGTTTGTAGGACGCGGGACGAGAAAGGGATCAAGGGTGGTGAGTTCGGGGGTGAGTTTGCGATGCAGCAATGGTCAATGGGAGCGGGGTGCGAGGGGGGCAAGTCTACATACGGACCGGTTGGGGAGGTGGTTAGGGAGTGGACAGCGCGCGGGGTGTGGGGAAGCAAGGCTGGATAGGGCGCGGGGTGAGAAGTGAAGGGATGCTGGATAGGGCGTGGGGTGGGAGGGGGAGCAAGGATAGATAGGGCGTGGGATGAGAAGGGACGCAAGGCTGGATATGCGTGGGGTGAGACGGGAATCAAGGCTGGGGAGTGCGTGGGGTGAGAGGGGAAGCAAGACAGTTTACAGTGTGAGGTGAGCGGGGAAGCAAGCTGGGTAGGGCGGGGGGGTGTGAGGGGAAGCAATGCAGTTTAGAGTGTTGGGTGAGAGGGGAAGCAAGGCTGGATAGGGCGTGGGGTGAGAGGGGAAGCAAGGCTGGAAAGGTCGTGGGGTGAGAGGGGAAGCAAGGCTGGATAGGGCGTGGGGTGAGAGGGGACGCAAGACAGTTTACAGTGTGGGGAGAGAGGGGAAGCAAGGCTGGGCAGGGCGCGGGGTGAGTGGGGAAATATGGCTGGGTAGGGCGTGGGGTGAGAGGGGAAGCAAGACAGTTTACAGTGTGAGGTGAGCGGGGAAGCAAGGCTGGGTAGGGCGGGGGGTGTGAGGGGAAGCAAGACAGTTTACAGTGTGAGGTGAGCGGGGAAGCAAGGCTGGGTAGGGCGGGGGGTGTGAGGGGAAGCAATGCAGTTTAGAGTGTTGGGTGAGTGGGGAAGCAAGGCTGGATAGGGCATGGGGTGAGAGGGGAAGCAAGGCTGGATAGGGCGTGGGGTGAGAGGGGACGCAAGACAGTTTACAGTGTGGGGAGAGAGGGGAAGCAAGGCTGGGCAGGGCGCGGGGTGAGTGGGGAAATATGGCTGGGTAGTGCGTGGGGTGAGAGGGGAAGCAAGACAGTTTACAGTGTGAGGTGAGCGGGGAAGCAAGGCTGGGTAGGGTGGGGGGTGTGAGGGGAAGCAATGCAGTTTAGAGTGTTGGGTGAGTGGGGAAGCAAGGCTGGATAGGGCATGGGGTGAGAGGGGAAGCAAGGCTGGATAGGGCGTGGGGTGAGAGGGGAAGCAAGGCTGGAAAGGTCGTGGGGTGAGAGGGGAAGCAAGGCTGGATAGGGCATGGGGTGAGAGGGGAAGCAAGGCTGGATAGGTCGTGGGGTGAGAGGGGAAGCAAGGCTGGATAGGGCGTGGGGTGAGAGGGGACGCAAGACAGTTTACAGTGTGGGGAGAGAGGGGAAGCAAGGCTGGGCAAGGCGCGGGGTGAGTGGGGAAATATGGCTGGGTAGGGCGTGGGGTGAGAGGGGAAGCAAGACAGTTTACAGTGTGAGGTGAGCGGGGAAGCAAGGCTGGGTAGGGCCGGGGGGTGAGGGGAAGCAATGCAGTTTAGAGTGTTGGGTGAGTGGGGAAGCAAGGCTGGATAGGGCATGGGGTGAGAGGGGAAGCAAGGCTGGATAGGGCGTGGGTTGAGAGGGGAAGCAGGGCTGGGTAGGGCGGGTGGTGAGAGGGGAAGCAATGCAGTTTAGAGTGTCGGGTGAGTGGGGAAGCAAGGCTGGATAGGGCATGGGGTGAGAGGGGAAGCAAGGCTGGAAAGGGCGTGGGGTGAGAGGGGAAGCAAGGCTGGATAGGGCGTGGGGTGAGCGGGGAAGCAAGGCTGGGTAGGGCGGGGGGTGAGAGGGGTAAGCAATGCAGTTTAGAGTGTCGGGTGAGTGGGGAAGCAAGGCTGGGTTAGGGCGTGCGGTGAGAAGTGAATGGATGCTGGATATGGCGCGGGGTGAGAGGGGGAGCAAGGCTAGATAGGGCGTGGGGTGTGAGAGTGTAAGGGATGCTGGATGCGTGGTATGCCCGGTTGAGCAAGAGTGGAGTGGGTGTGGGGTGAGAACGGGAGCAAGTGTGGGTAGGGTGCTGATTGAAACGGGAGAACACGGCTGGAAAATACCCGTTGAGAGCGCAGGGTGCATGTTGGATAGGGCGTGGGGAGATAGGGGAAGCTGGGAAAATGGACAGGCCACGCAAGATTTGATGGATTTTCCAGCCGGGCAACGACAAAGCAAACCCAACCAGCAGTGTCAAGAGTCCGGATCTAAGCACACAGCCTACCACCACAGCTCTGCACCCCTATGTCGGGCCGGAGTTGGGAAATCCGCGGGTAGTGTCAAGAATCCGGATCTAGCCACACAGCCTACCACCACAGCTCTGCACCCCTATGTCTCCACCTCACCCACCCCACCTGATACAATGCTCCCTCCCTCTCTCTCGCCAATTGCCTCATACCGAGTTTAGCTTGCGAAACTCTACCATGGCATGATGCTGGGGCTGAAAGTCAGTGGCTGGGGGATTGGGCTTTTCAAGCATGGCATGTTGCATGTTTATTATGCATGATGTTGTGCTTCTGGGTTGATCATGCATTGCAACAGAACCAGTGCACCACATCTCCCTGTTCAGCAAACCCCCCCCCCCCCCCCCACCTTTTCCGGTTTGCTATGCCTCATCCCGGTTTGTGGATAGGCTGTGGGGTGAGTGGGGGAGCACCGCTGCATTAGTGCATGGAGTAAAATAGGAAGCGACGGTACAGAGGGCGCTAGGTGACCATGGGAGTAAGGCTGAATAGGGGCGTATAGCGTAAGCGGTGGGGGCGTAGATAGGCCGTGGGGTGAGGGGGAACGGTGGGAGAGAGTGGGGAGAGGGAAGGGAGCATGGATGGATAGGGTGTGGGGTGAAATGGGGAGCTAGGGTTCAGAGGGCTCGGGGGGACCACTGTAGCAAGGCTGGATAGAGTGCAGCCTACGAGAGGGAGCATCGGTAGATATGCTCTGGGGTGCGATGAGGAGCTAGGCTGTGGGGTGCGCGGTTGCAGGAGGGAGCAAGATGGATAGGGCAAGATGCAGAGCAAGGTGGGAGATGCGGAGCAAGGGGCCAGCTGCGGAGCAGGGTGGGAGCAAGTGTTCATGTGATGTGGATTGGGAGGGTGAGAAAGGGGATATTGGAGGGTCATGTTTGGCAAGGAGGAGTTGCTATCCCTCGATTCAAACCCATCCCCATGGAAATTGGCAAGCAATGTTCCACATGGGCTATGCTTGTCTTCACTACTCTGTGTGTGTGGCAGAAGGGTGGTGACAGTGTCGAGAATGTTGGGCGCGAGGCGGGCGGAACGAGCCCACATGGCGGGCAGCGTGGGGATCTAGTATACATGTGCATACCGACTGTCGGTAAGTGAGGGTACGAGAACAGCCTTGACAATGTAATGAGGGTTGCCCACTACGCAATCATTCATTTGTGGTGCCACGCCTCAGCCCCCACAGTTGGGTTGTTGGTGACGGGTGAAATATAATGGGCGCACCTGTTGTGCAAGGAGTGGATGATCCCTTGTGGTACTGGGTCGCGTTGAAATATGAGAACCATCACCAATGTCGTGAACCAAACTGCACATGTTGCCCCCTTTCTGCGCTCCGTACTGTACAGGAGCCTTGTGGGGACGGGCAACCCGCAATGCAGCACGGGCATGCCAAACATACGATGTGCGCCGACACATGTAGAGTGGTCGTTACGAGCACCCATCTGCTACTTGTGCATGGGGTTGAGCGTGCTCATGCCTGGGCCGCGTTTGGCCACACTCAGTGACCTACTAAGAATCTACATGCACGCTGCCCCCGAACGTAACAGCGAGATTACGGCAGGCTGCCGCGAATGCAGGTGAGCTGACGTGTGTACATCAACTCGTCAAAAAGTATATGTGAAGGTACGTGTATTGGAATAACAAGGAACTAATGGTTCGTTTGTGCTGGTGCACAACGCAGGACCTCATGGGCACGCAGCCAATGAGGTGGTGAAACTACATCTTGCGGCTTCGTCCACTACGTTCTGGAAACGAATGGGCCGGGGTGCGGCGAAGATGGATGACATTCTGGACCGGCGGGAATAGAGAGTTGGCTGGTGTGGATTACGACTTCCCACCCTGGGAGGAGGTGGGGAGGGGTGGTATGCGGAGGGTCAACGGAAATGGATGGGGTGGCGCACGCAAGGGATCAGATGGGTAAATCATCAAGCAACAGGTGTGTGGATGTCTTTAGGATGACTTAGTGGTCGCGTCAAGTCGTTGAAATGGGAGATGAGACAGACATCGGTGCTAACGTGCGACAATGTTCCTGTAGATGGGGCCGCGCCGGCGGGAGCGAGCACGTCGGAGGAGTCGGACGACAGTTCGGCGACAGATACTGGAGGACAGCAGCGCGGAGATGGCAATGGGGGGGGGAGGCTGCCATGATGCGCCGACAAGGGGGGGAGGTTACTCCGGTACTGCGAGGCAAGAAGGTCGTGATCCGGCAGCTAGGGGGGGGGGGGTGGCTCGCATATGGGTGAGAGTGCTGAAGGATCTGGTGCCATGGGCAGTCCGAGAAGGGTCCCATGAAACGGGGGCACGTCTTGGAGATGGGGGGATATCTGCAAACGATGCAGCCGAGGCGGTCGATGTTCATGACGGGTGAGTGCTCTAGGATCCTGGTGGCAATTTTGAGAGGACCCTAAGATATTCGCGTGCGCAATCTATAGGAGGAATGCAACACCTAGAGTATCGTCCGCTTTGTCATGCAACTGAGTCCGACACAGGCCACAGTACACCACAACCGTGTTCTGTCATTCCATGTCGTACTTGCAGATCAGCACCACGAGAGGGACCGGCCCCAAGGC